CTGGAACCCTCGACGAGTGCGTACAGCTCTCGTCGAGCGCTCTCGGCAGAAGATAAAGCACAGATGGCTGGAGGCGTGCCCATGTCTTGATACACGCCTTGCCAAGGAATCAAACACCCTCCCCAGATAGAGCGGCGTTCCACAGACCGTTCACTTCCCCAAGAAGCATCCACATAGGCACGCAGAACCATGTGAGACTGGCGCTGCCGAAGGAAAACCTGAAAGTAGTGCACCACAGTCTTGAGGTAACGCAACATTGCCCTCATCGCGCGCTCGTGGAATTCAAGAGGGGAGCTCTGGCCCCGGGCTAAACGGAGATATAGTACACAAGGTCACCCCGAGTAGCACTCAACCAAGATAGCTTCCCCAGTGCTCGACGATAGCGCGCGGCGGCTTCTGGGGTCAACGGAACCCTCAGAGAGGATTCGTCCAGAGACTTGTCCAACCGGTCTCGAAGACAAGGAGGGGTGGGAAACCCCTTTGCGTTTTCTAGCTTGTACTCATTGTACTCCTCAGGAACATCTTCAGATCCCCTCCTGGCTCAGATTTCAATATCTCGCCGCCCAAATAAAGGATCTTCCCGTCTTTGGCAAGGTCTGCCGTGACCTTGAGCTTGAGCTCCTTCCGAAGCATTTCGACCATCTCGTAGAGTTCCTCTGTGCTTGCTCCTGCCAAGAGCAGGTCGTCCACGTAGCTAAGCACGAAAACCCTCTTGTTTCTGAAGTACCCCGTGAAAAGACACGGTTCGGTCGGGCACGGTCGTAGACCAAAGAGCTTTCCCAACAGCCCGGAGAGATGTCGAGTCCAATGCAGAGCGGCGGACCTGAGCCCATACAGGGCCTTCTTCAGACGGAGGTACAGCTTCTCACCCCCTGGTCCAACACAACCCTCTGGCACGCTAACAACGACCTTCTCATTTCCAAGCCATGCGAAGAGGAGCGCGGTAGACACGTCAAGCCCCAAGATATTGAGACCCTCTGCCCCAATGGCAGCAAGGAACAACTTCAAAGCCTTGGCCGATGCCGTGGGAGAGCTTATCCCGAGCTGTGACGCGGAGGGACCTGTGGAGTAGTCCCTGGCAACAATCCTGCATCGCACTATGGGTGTCTCTTTCCCGTCGACCCTCTCGTTCTTAGCTGCCACCACCCACCTAAAAGCAGCGGGTCATCAGCACTAGGTGGATCGATGGTCCACATAGGTAAGCCCCAAATCAAGACTCACTCCCGTGACATCATCCCTACAAACACAGGGCCTCTGAACTTTCACGAGACCCCCTCCGAGCTCAACAACAATCTCTCCAGCCGGGTCTTTCTCTTGGACCGGCGCGGCAACTTGACCAATGGCCTCATGATGCTCAAACCTCCATAGCTGCCATAGCAACCCCCTCTGGGATCCTATCCAGCGGCTCGGGCCCAACATCCACGAGGTCCCAAAGCTCTTCATTGGTCACCTCCCCCTCTGGGGGTGGCGGTCGGGCTCATACAGAGGCTCGTCTTCAGAGGCCCCAGACCCATCTGGAATAACGTCACGCGGGAGCTCAACATAATCACCAAGACCCTCATCAAGCCCTGAGTCCCCTAGGTCTGGCACCGGCCTGTCCCGGCCTGGCAGTAGTCGACAAACCCCTTTCAACAACCTTCAACAACCCAACTTCATACCTCAACGGCATAATCATGCGGATCTTTGGCGACCTCACGACCCGAAACTCCCCTGTGTTCAACTGGACCCTGACCCAATG